TTTTTATAATATAAATCTTCATATATACTTAAGAAAATTATATATATTTCAACTCAAATTTTTTCATATGTAATAGTAATGTTAAAATAAGTTATAATTGATCATTATTGTTTTTAACTATACCTAACAAATTAAAATATAAAATTGTGACATGACATAACAGTAATATGAAAAAATATATGAAGGTGTTATGAGTTAAAATTTTAGTAAAAATCATATATGAGTTTAACAAAAATCAAAAAATATATTTGTGTCTTTTGTGTTTATACGAATTATAACACATAATTTTTATATAAAACATGACATAAATACATGAATTATCAATATTTTGTACGACATAAAAAAATAAATTGTCAAATCTATTTTTACCCATATTTTTTAATAAAAAAATACACTTATTTTTATTTATTATTTCAAGATTAATGTTTGTACATATCTCTAAACAAACCATTTCTTTTGGCAACTTTATAATTAATAATCATAGTTTTAGGTTCCAAACCAAGGGATAAGGGTTGGGACAAAAACAATAAAGTTGACTTGCTAATCAGGACAAGGGAGGGGTAGGTATCATTTTTCTAAACCTATATTCTTGCTTAACTTTCTAATATACAAATAGCAATCTTACCACATAATCTTAAAAAAAAAAAAAAAAAAAAAAAAAAACCTTATTTTTCCGCAACAACTTTATTATTCTAATTTTAAATTTAGTCTAGTTATATGCATAAATAGCATAAATGCAGCAAACAAAACATATTTATTAGTCCAAATCTTAAAAAACGGGTAAATAATTGTATGGTTTGTTTGGTAAAGTCTTCAGTATAAAACAACACTTCTTAACAAAAATAAATAATTATTCAATTTTTTTTGGTTAAAATAAATAAAAAAGTTTCATGAACTTTAACCAACTTCTTAGATAAGTTCATATACTTTATTATACCCTAATAAGCCATACTTTATTTTACACCTTAATAAGTCCTTAAAATTAATCTGTATTCCAAATCAACTCTTGTATTTTAATTTGTACTAAATTAAGCTTAATATAAATTAATCTTTAATTTGAAATAAGAGCATACTTAGAGACAATGAAAGAATAAAAGTTTACTTAAATACAATGAAAGTATAGAGGTCTATCTAAATAAAATAGTAAAGTTTATGAGCTATTTTAGTATTTTAGCTTTTCCATTTTATTATTGCAATCAAGCTTTTAAATATTTACTTTCATCTAATTAAACATTTAAACATTTATTTTTATCCAATTGAACCTTTAAACATTTATTTTCACTCAAATTAACCATGAAGTGGACGAAAATAGGTGTTGCCGTTAATCAATTTTCGTCTAATAAAAATTTAATTGATGAAAATAACTTTTTGATGATTTAATTTATTACAATAAAACGATAAAGATTTGTATAATTATTTAATTTTAAGATTAATATCATAAATTATTTTTAAATTATAATAAAATATTTAATGTGATATTTAAATTTTATATAAGTGTAAAGTGTGAGCATGAACTTGGTTTTTGATAGTTATATATGAAAAGACTCTTATCAAATAAGGGAGAATCTAAGCTAGGGAAGTTGGCTGAGGAAGGCAGCAGTGAAGTGCATGAGAATAAAACTGTTACAGGAAAAGACTTAAGAGGACAGCAGGAATGGCAATCGTTACAAGAAGCTGACGTGTTATATTTTAATTAATTGAAGTTTGTTGTCAGTTGGAAGTCGGCTGAGGAGGATAGCGGTGAAATGCATGACAATAAAACTGTTCAGGAAAAGACAAAGAAGACAGCTGGAATGGCAAATAGTTACAAGAAGCTGACGTGTTATATTTTAATTAATTGCATTAGTTGTCAGGTGGTAGATTGATAGGAATTCAATGACCTTATATAATAGAATGATGTATTATGACGTGAACGAAAGTTTTTTTTTTTTTCTCCTCTATTCTCTAAACTTTCAAAAACTTTAAATCCGAATGGAATTGGATTTTTAAAAGTTTCATATCTGAATTTAAATTGTTTAAATAAAATTAAGTGTTTGTATTTTTTTTTTTGTTAAGTTGAATCATTTCACACACAATTATTAATAGATAATATCAAATAGTTCATTTAATTAATTAAAATTTAATATTTTTATTGTAAAAATTTTAAATTTAAATTTTATCGATAATTATTTATTAAAATTATTTTGAATATATAATTTATAATTATTTATATTAAATTATTAAATACGATATATTTTATTTTAATTTAAAATATTAAATAATTTATTTATTTTGAATTTATTCTTGCAAAAAAATGATCATGACCAATGTGCAAAAAAGCAAGTTTTTTGGACAAATTAATTTATGGATATAAACTTCCATAGCTTACGAAAACAACTGTCATGAAGCTAGTCAACAAAAAGGGTGGACAACTAGAATGGGGTGCATGTGAAGGAACTGGAGGTGATAACAGAGAACCTGAGCTAGGGAATTTGGCTGAGGAAGGTAGCAACGAAATGAATGAGAATAAGACTGTTAGAGGATAAGACAAAGCGGACAGCAGGAATGGCGCGTTGTTACGAGAAGCTGACGTGTCATATTTTAATTAATTTAAGTTAACTGTGATTGTTATTCGTCCTTGTAATTAGCGCAATAGGAATTCAATGACACATATATAACTCAATGATGTACTATGACGTTTTCATGAATGAAATTTTTCATTTTTCCTCTATTCTCTAAATTTTATTTTTATTACAATTTTCATCTTTTTTTGAATTTTTTGGAATTTTAATAAAATTTTGAGTTTTTTGAATTTTTTTAAGTTTTCATAAATTTTTTTAATTTTTATAATTTCAAAAAATATTTCAATATTTTAATTTATTTAAAAATTTTTGTAAATTTTTTTGGTTTTTAAAAATAATTTAAAATTTTTATTTAATGTTGATGTAATAATTAATAATATGAAGCTAACTTTATTTTTTATTACATGTCAATATCTTATTAAATATTTGTCACATCAGTAAATGGACTAAAAACGTTAGTTTGAAGTGCTAAAGTGATGACAGAATAAAAATTAAGTACTAAACTGACAAAAAATATAATACATGTGTAATTTTTATATTTAACCTTATATATAAAATCTTTTCCCAAAAGGAATGAGATTACTCAATTTAATTAGGATTTTAGGTCATAATTTTTAGACAATTAAGGTTTGTCATAAATGTTGATTTTGGGAGGTTAATTGGGTGAATGATGATTTGAGGGTAATTGGGTATAGAATTGTTTGTATTTGAGGTTAAATTGCTAAATTATCTCTAAGGAGATTAATAGGTTTTAAGGATATTTTTATCTTTAAGGTAAAGGAAAATTAAAGGAAATGAAAAGAAAAAAAAAATTAAGAAAGAAGGCAAGAAAACAAGATGAGAAAGTAATTTGGAGAAAAGAAAATTAAAAAAAAAGAGTTTTGATTTTTATAATTTTTAAACATTATTATATTCTTTAATTTTTAAAAAGATATTTCTTAAAAAATATAATTTAGAATAATTTAAGAAAAATTTATTAAACATGTAACTTAGTAACTGATTTTTTTTTTAATTTAAGCATTACCTTTTTAACTTTTTTTTTCCCTTCCAAAGAGAGGAATGAGGAAGAAGAATAAAAATATTTAAAAGGAAAAATAGCAAATAAAATATGAATTTATTTTATTATTTTTGTATGTTTTCTTATATTTTATTTTCTTTCTTTTTTTATAGTAAATGTGAAAAATAGTGAATGTAGTACTCAATCTTGTTGGTTTTAAATTATGACATGTGACAAAAAATAATATTCTAAGTATCACTTAGTATATTCATAGTTCAAATGTTATATTCATTAGATTTTTTAAAATTCAGATATTATATTAAATAATTTAATATAATTTAAAGATCACTTTCATAGCGTTATGCCTTAATTATATAATTCAAGACTGACCAAGACAAATATATATCGATCTAAAAAGTCAAGACAATGAATTTTCTTCACTTCATTATCTTATGTGCATCACTGATTTTGATCAAATGTGATGCCCAAGTTCCTTTTATTTTTGCCATTGATATAAAAAGTTAAGACCAGTGTAATGAAGTTTCCTCATGAGAAAGAGTCCTTGCATAAAAGAAACCCATTTTTGCTTGCTCAAATATATCAAAATTTCCACCCCAAAAACTCATTTTATTTACAATTTATTCATTTAATTAATAAATCTTAAAATAAATAAAATAAATATAAAAATAATTATTTATTAAATTTAATAAATAAATATAATCAAACAAAATCAAACTTATTTACAAACTGTATATTCAAGATTCTAACAAATATTATATTTGTTCACACTACTAGGATTGGAAAATATGAAGTTCAAATGACAACATACCAAACAGGAAGAAAGCGACGCGGTTTTCCAACTCATGTACTCCCCCCTTATTTGGCTTTAAAGGACTAACATGCTATGTGATTGATTTCTAACACGCTATGCTTCCAACTTTAATTTAAATTTAAAATTATTATTAATAAATATAAATATATTTTCCAGTAACAAAAAAATTATAAAAATTCTTCACATAAAATTTATAAAGAAGTTCATAAAAATATAGGCTAAATGCTCAATTAATACCAAAATTTTCATTTCATGAATAGGATATATTAGTTTTATTCTATTTGAATTGTTATCTTCTTATTTATCATTTTAAAATAAATTATAATAAAAAATTAATAATTAAGAGCATGTCTTACGCACACAATTTGATTATCGTTTGATTGTAAGGTGGAACAAGTTTTGAACAAAAAACTTTTCGTATATTTTTTTTCTTCTCTTTCTTTGATTGTTTTCACATTAATTAGAAACCAAAGTTTGAACCCAAAATCAAGTTATATTTTTTCTTACATATGTCAGTTTTTTAATTTTGTTTGTAAAATTTAAAATTTTCACCAATAATAATGTATAAGATAATTTTTTTAAAAATTTAAATTAAAAGAAAAAACTAAAAATTAACTCTACCATCACCTATAAAGATTAAAACTTGACCTTAAGAAATCTGTTCAAATCATTGAATTTAATCATGTTAGTGTCACATCAAAATCTGGGACAATATCTTAATGCACGAAAAGGAAAGTACTCTCTATCGAGTATTATATAAACGTGTGTTTGGGAACTAATGGAAGTTGTAAATTGCTAAACACTCACAAGAATCAATTATGGCATCGGCAACTAACGTGTTTGGCGAGCCCATCACTGAAAATGTTGTGATGGGAATCCCGGAGTATGCGAACAGGGCACGCCAAATCAGAGCAGATGTGGCTAAGCAATGGAAAGGAAAAGATTGTAAGTACGAAGAAGCTTTGGGATACGTGAAGGCATTGAAGAGGCAATGGGGCACTGGAGCCTCCACACTCTGCCTGGTTTACAATGCTACCGGTGAACCATTGACCTTTGTTACTAGTCATGATTGGTTTGGGCACATTTACCAGACATGCCCACGGGTGATAGCAAATGGGCAGTGGGGTGGGTTTTTGCATGTGAAAGCTGCTGTGGCAGCTTCTGGTTCAGAGGCAGCCGTCGTTTATCGCGGCAAAAATAAGGATGGAAGAGCCACTGACTGGCTGCTGGCTTGGGACAACCCTTGGAGAGTTGACCTTGACAAACAGGTAAAATTTTAAACTTAATAATAATTATAATAATTACTTATAGTAGTACTATTAATTTCAATCCTTTATTAATTATCTATATATATGTATACTTTTTTTTTTTGTATAACAGTCATTGATATATCTTCAACTTTTATTTAGATTTAATTTCGTCTATTTTTAAAATATATTCTTTTCATAAAATTAGATATGATAATTTTAATCACAATACTGATAATTTTGTAAACATCAATTTTTGCTTGGATTAATTTTATATTCTAAATTAATTTAACTTTTGAATTTATTTTTAAATTTTCATCAGATCAATTTAATATTGATTTTTAAGTTATGAATTGTTAATAGGTACTCCGAAATTAACTTCAAATGCGATCGAGTTAGAAAAGTCCGAAATTGAGTCTAAGATATTGGGCCAAAGTCCATTGCAATATGCATGGGTCCATAAGGCTTAAAATTTTAAGGTCCAAGCTCAATGTCTAATTTCCATGTTTTCAGCCCTAATTTGTTTCATATTTTAATTTGAAAAATTTTAAAAAAAAAGAAAGGAAAAAGGGCAGTCAATGAGAATGGGTGCTTTACCCACGAGCTTTCATCGGCCTAGCTCCAATCTACCCATATTGAGCCTCTGCACCAATCCTTCTAACCCTAACAATTACAATTCTAATATAGCCACCATGGATAGCTCAAACCTGCTGGCAATGGGATTTGAATCCCTGAAATTAAGGGATTGGTCTAAAAATCTACATAATAAAATTGAGACAAAATCATCGAAGTAAGGGATTTTTTTTTTAGACACTATAAACTCTGCAAAAATACTCTTACATACACCAAATCTAATTCAACCGAATCACCCCTGAATCCATCATTCGGTCGATATTTCCAAAACCCACCACAGTGAGCCTCAACAGCCTCACCAAAACATTATCTCCCCTGTAGTCGAAACCTACTATTGGATTTAGTACCTTCAAATCTCAATAGCTCTTTATTTTCCACCAACATTTGATAGCCTCATGATCACCCTTCACCCACAATGCAAACACTAAATAAAACAACACCCACACCTAAAACTTACCCTCATCAAAACACCCATCCAAAAACCAAAAAACACAAGAAAAAATTCCACATCCCCTGGAAGGGGAGAAGCAGCGCCAAAAAACAATGAAAAAAAACCAAAAAGACATAAAAAACGAATGAGGGAAAAAAGCCATGGAGCCTCGGTTTGGGCGATTCTTGAGAAGTTTCCGGGCGTTATTTTTGTTAAGGAAAAGGTATTAGGCAATAGAAAGATATACTAAGAGGATGACTGATTTGTAGTGGCAAGGGCCAATCTTTCAAGCTTAACAGCTATAATTTACGAATCAAATCTAGAAGAATCTAGAAAGTTTTTGAGAGATATAAGTTTGGAAAGGGAAAGAGGACAAAAAAAGGAGTCAGGAGAAAATTTTGAAGGATTTTATGGCGTCGACCGATGGCGATTAGCGACGAGGGCGGAAAGGCTGCCGAAAACTGGGAAATAAATGGTTATTGGCTTTCTGTTTCATAGAGAAAATGAGAGATTTAAAGGTTAATGACAGAAAGTGAAAAGTACAAAAGAAAGAGTCAGTAAATATTTTGGATTTTATAGTTGCTAGATTAATTAAAACTATGTAGTTTTGGGAAGGAAAAAAGAGGACCATCGCAGCTGCCAACCCGACCCGTTTTATTGACTAGCCCGTGACCCAGAAGAGGTCCAACCCGCATGGATCTATTTTGGGCAATTGGTCTTGATCTCGTTATTTGAATGGTTTTGGGTTTGAGTTCAAAGGTAGTTTAGGTATGTTCCATTATTTGGTTATGTTTTATATTTATTTGTTTTAATGCTTCTTAATATGAATTAGTGATAAATTTATTTATGAAAAATTATGTTAGTGTAAAATTTTATTATGAAATATTAGAAAGTAAATGAAAACATCTATAAGAATGAGATTTTAAGGTATTTTCGGTAGCAATGCTTAAAAAAATTTTAAGTGACAATATTTTTCAATAGTATTAATATATTAAAACATTTTAAGAGTTTTTTCAATGATAAAATTCCAATTTATTTTTTTAAATAAATTAGAATAATAAAAAAATGAAAAGAAAATTAATAATAAAAGGCCAAAATTATGATGAGTAAAGGTAGTTAAGGAAATTATTCTTAAATATCAAAATTAAGATTTTTTTGTTAAAATTAAAGGATAATATATAATTAATTTGTATTATTTTTTAATGGACATTATGAGAATGTTAATCATTCCACACACATAACCGACTCTTGAATCCAAATTGTTTTCACAAAACCAAAATTTATTTTTTAAAATTTTAATTAATTTTAAGATTTTATTAAAAAGATAAGTTTTAATAAGTGTCAATCATACATAATAAAAAATGATTAGTGATGACTCTTTATATTTTTAAATTCGTCTAATAATCTCAAAACTATTATAACAGACATGATTTAAAATTTTAACAAATTTATATATACATTTGGTAAAAACTAAAATATTCTATTTTACATTTGGCATAAAATTTTACTTGTATTAAATATAAAATAAACAAAAATATATAGATGAATTATTAAATCTAAATATTACTATGCATTTAAAATCTATTTTCAAGATGTTATCTCATTCTCGTTCTCGTTGACAAAGAAAGAGTAATGCAATACATATGTGCAGGCGTATGTTGAGATCCACGAAGCTGGCTACTTTGAAAGGGTTGACTGGGGGGCAATTGCCAAAAGCTTAGAAGGGGCTACTTCTCATCATTATGCGACATGGGAAGGATGCATTGCATACGTAAAGATAGAAAATGATACTTCTCCTCTTTATGAAGCAGTACTTTCACTTGAATAAACTGTTTTTATTATATCTATAACATCTATAAGGGTGAGAAAATGCCACTACCTAGGCAGTATAACAATAGTCTTTAGCTTTTAGGTTTAATGGTTAAGAAAGCTTAAAAGAACATGCAAGGTAAAAGCTCAAATTTCACTATCTTGTCAATTTGTCATGTATTTATAGTTGTAATATAAGAGTATGTGTGTGTAAACTCTTATTTATCTGTTGCTGGTGATAATATCATCATTCTCTTTTGTCTGTCTTTAAAAATCTAAGAAATAACGTTTATGGTATTGTATCACATTTGTTAAATTTTTAATTTCCACTTTTTTTCCCTAACAGTTGTGCTACATGGTGGGAAATGAACTAATATATATAATTTTCCCTTTCAAGATCCTTTAATTTGTAGTGGCAAAACTTTTAAAATTGTTCAAAAGTATTAGTAAGTTTTTCCAAGATCACTCTTAAGATAATTATGGGATCAAATCTATAATTAATATTTTTTTAATTACTATTAGAAAAAAAAAGTGTTGCTGCACGTGCATCCTTTGTAGATAACACCTAGTTTATCTTTTATTCGTGTTCCCTTCTTTTTTTTTTTCTTTTGATCATATTTATCTGAAGACCCCGAGTTTTTTCCAACAGCAAGGTTTTTTAAAATTTTTACTTTTTAATAAGGATAATTTTAAACTTATTTCTTTAAGAATGTATTTATGTCATGTCAATGACATGTCAATTCCATATCCTATTTTATAAATAATAATTTAAACAAAAAATATATGTTTTTTAAATTGAAACATTATACGTGTAAGATTTCTTTTACTAAATTATAATCTCTCATAAACCCTAAATACTATTTTCTCCCTACATTTTACTTTTTTTATTAAACATTTCTCTATAAAATTTTAGAGCATAGAGGTTTGTAAAGGGAATTATATTTGGCAATATTGTTCTTGATCTCAAAAATTTTTTTGATTCTGTAAGAATCCTAAGCCTTATAGTTATGGCGTTGAATTGTAATATAACCTCCTTGTTAATTAGGCATGCAAAAATAGTAGAATTAATACTAGTAGGCTTTGTTTTTACATGTATAGACCATAATTTATTAGGTCATTTTAATTTAGAATCTTTTTATTATCAATTTTTCTCTTGACTAAGAGAAATCCATTTGTCATTATTACATCATTCTCATTTTTTTGTTTTTGGTGAAAGTATCAAACATTTTGATGAACTCAGAATTTGAACTTGAGCTAAATAGACCATACAATTAAGGACATCTTTGCTTATGTAGTTTTCTCCATGATCAAGCCATAAAAGGCTTGAGACTAGAGTTTAATATTTCATAAAGCTTCCAATGAGCATTAACCAACATGTGAATATTGCTTGCTTATGGACTTTTCTTCATAAATGAATAAAAAATCTTAGTTTTAGCTTATATTTTTGTTTACTATTTCTAACTACAAATGGAATCTCTGATTAGAGATATATGCAATACAACTTCAATTGCATTGTTTGAATTAAAAGTAAATAGATTTTAAATTTCTTACATCTTAAGTAACTTGGTAAAGTGAATGGCTTTTCTACTTGAATTGTTTATTTTTGTATCCAAAGCAATTGCATTTGGTATATTCTATGTATTATCGAAATTCTTATTATTTATGACATTGAGCTAATAATTATTTTTTATTATTTCAATGCTAGTTGATAATGACTGGAAAAGAAATTCCAAATTTTGTTATTGGAATGGAAGCATCATTAAAGGATCAAATGGCTTGTGTTATAATGGTCCTTTTTTTAGAGCAATTAATTGAAGCGAAAAAAAAATTTCAACATATTGATGGACAAAATGTATTATATTATAGGATTTGATAGAAAGTGAGCACAATTAAATTTGATTTGTCAATATCCAACAATAATGCAATCATCAATGATTAAATATATCCACTTATCTATTATGGATGATGGTAGCGTAGATATCATATTGGAAATTCCATCTATTTATCCTTCTATCAGCAATGTTAAAGTGTATTAAGAAATGGAATCAATTTTTATTGGACCTACTGAATATAGGAGTCAATCTACAAGTTTTGTTCCACTTGCTCAATTGCCAACATAAGACAATAACACTTTGCTGAATCATGCTAATGCCCACCACGCTAATCATCCATTTTCACCAAGTAGTAGTGAACCTACCATGGAAAGGCATGTATCAATCGTAGGTAATATTTTTGGATTCTCTAATTATGAAAATATTAACCAATATGACAAAGATATGAGAGTAAATATAAATGCAGTGGAAATTTTGGTTTTTCTAAATCTAACAATATATTCAAGGATATGAATGTGAATAATGAAGTACTTGAAGAAGAAAATGAAAAACACAAAAAGCAAGAAGATTTTGAAAAAGTTAACCTAAAAGCCAATAGTACCATTATAGACGTGTCATTTCATATGCCAAACATGCTACTCTTCACTAATATTGATCAAGTTAATGATGCTGTTACTAGTAATTGGACACCGCAAAGCTAAAGTTTTGCTTTGAATCCTGATCTTAAGTTGAAAAAATGTTTAATTTTCCAAAATTAAAAAGAGTTGTACAATTGTACTCCATTAAAAGACACTAAAAGTATAAAGTGGGTGGAAACAAAATATATATATATATATGGTTATTAAGAGGCAAAAGGCATCGGGAAAGTGGATGCAAATGGAGGCTTCATGTGTATCAATGTAAAAGTCATAGACTTTTTGAGATTACTCAAATGATGACCCTCATACATGTGTCTACCTAAGGTTAAGTCGTGATCACCCATAACTAGACTCAAATTTATTAGCACATGAGATTGAAAGTCAAGTGAAAACTAACTTTTGAT